GCAGAGGAGCTGCGGCAGCGACCTGATCCTGACGCCCACCCTAAACGCCGTGGAGCAGAGCCGAAGGGGTAATTACCCTGCCACGGCCGGCGCTCGGCAGAGACCCGCCGAGCTGCCCGGGGGGTGCATCCAGCCAGAAAGAGGTTTGTTCGATCGCTTCTCTGAGAAAGCCGTCTGATATTTAACCTTTAGCTCGGTATGGCCGCCTCTGTATGTCCTTTATGGCTCTTCCCCTTTCTTTACGTGTTATTTTCTCCCTCTCAGTCTGGCTTTAACTGCTCCTCTGTTGTGTTTGTGAACGGGATTGACCCTTGGCAACATCTTGAAAAACAGAGAATTACGCTTTATGTGTTAAAAAAATCAAAACAAACAAGTACTTTAACTACTCCCTACAGTCAATACAGAAAGGAGAAAGGTTGGTGGGAGTGTTGTTTAGTGTTTGAAATATTTCTGGGGCGTTTTCCTGGGCACTCTGGTCTGATGACTTTTCCAGTGCATATTCTGTGTCTGACCAGTTGGCGTAATGTGAACCTGCAAGCACTGTGTTCCCTGCTGTAAAGGTGCTGCAGGCGAGTAGGAATGGCCTTCCTTCTGGTTCCTGTCCCAGAGCTCTGTATCTGGAAAGGTAACAGGTATTTTAAAGAAGAAGGTGTCCTGCGGTGGTGCCCAGTTATTCCCACACTATGATCACCGAGAGTGGGAGACCCACCAAAATGTTGTCTGGCCTGTCAGAGGGGTTGTACTTCATTGCTATGCGTGGTCCTGTTTGCAGCACAGTACTTACAAATCTCCTGTACTGAACTTTTATCTGGTTTTGCGTGGAGGTGAAGATCTACCCGGTTTGTCTGTGTGTGTTTTAAGACATGATTGCAGAAAACTAGGCTGACTGCTCAGCCTGTCTTATCTGGCCAGTAGCACGGGCAGCTGTATGCTATTTTCATTGGGGGGGTTATTGAGTTGTTCTCAAAAGAACTTGCTGTTATGAAGGAGGCAATGCCCTCGTTTTATGGTTAAATATGAAAAAGTCTTCCTAAATCTCCTTGTTGTAACATAAAACCATTTGTTACTTTATTATTTATGTTGGATTCAGTAAAAATGAGATTAAACCATTATTATGGTGGCTGGTAAAAGGGAAACATTGCACCCATTTTTAAAAAGAGCAGAAAGGAGGACCCTGGGAACTACCGACCTGTCAGCCTCACCTCTCGACTTCATGGAACAGATCTTCCTAGAAGCTCTGCTAAGGTACGTGGAGGACAAGGAGGTGATTTGAGACTGCCACCATGGCTTCACCAAGGGCAAGTCCTGCTTGACCAACCTAGTGGCCTGCTGTGATGGAGTGACTACATCAGCAGACAACGGAAGAGCTAAGGATGTCATCTGTCTGGACTTCTGTAAGGCCTTTGACATGGTCTCCCACAACACCCTGCTCTCTAAGTTGGAGAGATACAGATTTGATGAGTGGGCTCTTCGGCGGATAAGGAATTGGCTGGATGGTCATATCCACAGGGTAGTGGTCAACGGCTCAATGTCTGGATGGAGATCAGTGATGAGTGGTGTCCCTCAGGGGACCATATTGGGACTGGCACTATTTAATATCTTCATCAATAACACAGACAGCAGGATCGAGTGCACCCTCAGCGAGTTTGTAGATGACACCAAGCCAAGTTGTACAGTTGACTCGCCTGAGGGAAGGGATGCTGTCCAGAGGGACCTGGACAAGCTTGAGAAGTGGGTCCATCTGAACCTCATGAGGTTCAACAAGACAATGTGCAAGGTCTTGCATATGGGTCAGTATAAATAGTCTGGGGGCTGAAGGGATTGAGAGCAGCCCTGAGGAGAAGGACTTGGGCTGTTGGGGGACAAGAAGCTCAACATGACCCAGCAATGTGCACTGGCAGCCCAGAAAGCCAACCGTGTCCTGGGCTGCATGTCCAGCAGTGTGACCAGCAGGTCGAGGGAGGGGAGTCTGCCCCTCTGCTCCACTCTGGGGAGTCCCCCCTCCGCTGCT